GGCAGTTTGGCCGTTCCTTCGCCTGAGCGCAGGCTGAGCTCCGGTCTGCCGGGAGGCGCGCGCCGGCGCTGAGCGCAGAGCTGACCGTGCGGCGGGCGTGTGCGCAGCGGAGGATCTCGGGCGCGCGCCCGGGCCGCTGGCACGGCGCGTGAGCGGCCGCGGGCGGAGCCATGGCTGCGGCGGCCCGCGGCGAGGCCGTCGCGACCGGGGCCTGCTGCGGCCCGGTGGCGACGCCCCGGCGCGCCGGCGGCCGGGGCGGCGCGGCGCCCCTGCTCTTGCCCGCTGCTGCTGCGCGTGCGAGCGGCGGCGGCCTTGCTGCTGTGCTGGGCGGCGGTGGCCGTGGCGGCGCGGCGGCGGAGCGCGTCGCGCAGCTGAAGGTGTCGAGGCGCGCCCGTCGGCAACGCGTGTCGGCTTCGAGCGCGACGACGCCGGGCAGCACGGCGAGCGCCGGCGGCGCCGGCGGCGGCCCCAGCCACCGCGGCGGCTCGACATCGCGAGCGGCGGGCGTGGCGGCCCGCCCTACCTCATCCGCGCCCCTCCCCGCAGCGCCGTCGACTCGACCTCACCATCGAGCAGCACCACGTCGAGATCCGCACAAAAGGTTCCCGTTGGACCGCGAGACGCGCTCCTCCTACTCGCTGGTGGCCATCCCGCTCTAGCGGCGAAACATCCCGCGTCGGTAGTGCGCGTGCCGACAGGAAACGACAACGCCGCCACTTTCCCCGACGGCCTGTCATGAACATCGAGTTCCCCGAAAACACCCCGGCGACGCTGAGCGCGACGCTTGCACCCGGCCGCGACGACGACCGCCGTCTACAGCCTACTGATCGAAGCGCTGGACGGCGGGAACCCGCCGCTGCGAGGCTCCATGACCGTCAACATCACCATCCAGGACGTGAACGACAACCAGCCCATCTTCAACCAGAGCCGCTACTTCGCCACCATTCCGGAGAACGCGACGGTGGGCACGAGCGTGCTGCAGGTGTTCGCGACGGACACGGACGCCGGGGAGAACGGGCAGGTGGCGTACTCCATCAACCGGCGGCAGAGCGACCGCGAGGGCATGTTCCGAATCGACTCGGCGACGGGGCTCATCGCCGTCAACCGGCCGCTCGACTTCGAGACGAAGGAGGTGCACGAGCTGGTGGTGGTGGCGCGCGATCACGGCATGCAGCCGCTCGAGACCACTGCCTTCGTGTCCATCCGCGTGACGGACGTGAACGACAACGAGCCCACCATCAACGTCATCTTCCTCAGCGACGACGCCACGCCAAAGATCTCCGAGTCGGCGCAGCCGGGCGAGTTCGTCGCCAGGATCTCCGTCAACGACCCGGACTCCAAGACGGAGTACTCCAACCCCAACGTGACGCTGGAGGGCGGTGACGGCCGCTTCGGGCTGGCGACGCGCGACGAGATCATCTACCTGGTGATCGTGTCGCTGCCGCTGGACCGCGAGCTGCAGCCCAACTACACGCTGAGCGTGATCGCCACGGACACGGGCAACCCGCCGCTGCACGCCTCCAAGACGTTCCACCTGCGGGTGACGGACGTGAACGACAACGCGCCCGAGTTCGAGCGCACCGTCTACTACGCGAACGTGCTGGAGGTTGCGGACCCGGGCACGTCCGTCTTCCAGATCCACGCCGTGGACCGCGACGAGGGCAACAACTCGGCGCTGGTCTACTCGATCCTCGACACGCCCGACACCCACTCCACGTGGTTCCAGATCGACCCGCGCTCGGGCCTCATCACCACCAAGTCGCACATCGACTGCGAGACGGACCCCGTGCCGGCGCTGACGGTGGTGGCGATGGACAACGGCGCCACGCCGCTCTCGTCCTCCGCCACCGTGCTCGTCACCATCCACGACGTCAACGACAACGAGCCCATCTTCGACCAGAGCTTCTACAACGTGTCCGTTGCCGAGAACGAGCCCAAGGGACGCTGCATCCTCAAGGTGAGTTCCCGCCGGCCAACGCCTTTGTTGTTGTGGTTGTTGTTGTTGTGGTTGTTTTTTCTTCTCTTTGCGGCGCCCAGTGAATCGTGCGCGTGTGGCCGCCGATCGAACGCCTCAAGAAAAACCATGTGGTGCGTGTTTGTGGATGTCAGTGCAACGCAACGTCCGGATGACAAACACTGCGGCGTTTATTACAAGTGCCTCGTTTGTGTAATATGAATGTGGAGTGTGAGTAACGTCTTATTACCGGGCGTCATAGTGATAATTTTTCTTAGCCGTGTCTGTGAACAGGGAACGTACGAATCCTCATGTTAGTGAAAACGGTTGTGTTTTGTGCCTGAAATAAGGCTTATTTGTTTTTGGCCCTGCGATTTAGTTGTGATTTATTCTCCTTATTCCACTATCTTGCGCTGTAGTTAGTTACGTTCTGGGTGGTATGTTTGCAGATATGCCTTGAAGTCCGGGTGCTTAACTTCTACTTTTCTTTGTACTACTTTACTATGTAGCTGATGTTGCTATATGTATAATGTATTGCAGCGGTGTTATTCGGTAAAGCTTAGAACTCCTCCAGGTGGTAGGAAGTAGGCTTTCCCTCCTGGTGAATATGGAAGAGGACTGATCTAGTATGTTGTATCACATTTACGATCGAAAGACGTAGTATTTATGCTAAAGCGGAGGCAACGGTACCTTCATCGCATACCGAGGGTTTTATGAATGCGTCTGAATATTAATTGGATTTCATACAAAAATCACCCTTGATGATGTTGACTTCGTGGACTCATTTCACGTCAAATCTTGCAACATATTGAAGTTCTTGGTGCGCCTCTGTGCGGCGTTTACCTGCTCTTGTTTATGCCCTATTGTTAGGCGGAGCGATCCACCTGCCGTCCGCGTCCCGCATGTTTATTGTTTAAAAAACGTCGATCCGTACGTGAGAAGTGTGTTTACGGGAGAATGAGGGTTCGTGTACGATGGGAAAAAATACAGGGCGGCCATTGAGAACAGTACGACCGCAAGAGAACATTCATTGTCTTAATGATGCGAAATCGAGTTGACTTGCGACGAAAAGCGAGTGAAAATGGGAAACTTTCCGAGCACTGTGCGAATACAGGTTTGCATACGCACTGCGCTGTAGTGGTCTTCGGATAAGAAGAAAAGAAACGTGACCATCAACTACGTTCTTGATGGATCTATGTTTAATGTAACAATTGGCGTGGGAAATCGTGAACTGACAACCTTCTTTGGTGTGCCTCTGTCGGTACGATTCAGAATGTCTCTCTGCCTATTTCATACGAAAAAAATATCAGTAAATGGCAAAGTGCGCTGTGCCTGGGATTAGTAATGATTTTGGTTCCCAGCGTTTGTGCACTGATGCCGTTCATGCATAAAATGACAATAAAACTACCGCAAAATTAGTACAGTGAATACGAGGAACCTATAATAGATATTATGAGGTATTAGGTCTTCCAATACACCAGAGGGTGTAGTAAAAATAACTGAAACCAGTTGTAAATGTAACGAGAGAAATTACTATTAATAAAGATATTTTAAGAACAACATTAAATTCAATAAATGTTTCTAACTCGGCGGTGTTTGCGAGACAATACTATGTAGTGTTTTTGAGCTTCATTAGAATCAATTACTGCAGATGAGATAATTATCGCGATACAAATAGGCCAAATTTAATGCTCTTAAAAAGTTGTAACGTATTCACGAACGTGTACAATAAAACTCGGAATTACATATGGATTTGTATTTTGAACGTGGTAATGTAAATTTCCGTCAAGATTCAAGTAGGAAAAGTGTGTGGATGTGTGGGGGAGGGGGAGGGACTCTTTGAAAAATAATATGATTGCAAAAACTGGGTGCGATCTTTCATTCGGGTATGTTGCCAGGTATAAGCAAATGGATTTGTAAAATTCAATGAAATTTTGCCAGTGTTGATGTGTCTTGTAGAACATGGAAACCTTCCAAATGTATCGATAAATATAAATTCCTTCTAGTAATCATCTGATATTGTCTTCAGTAATTAATGTTATTCTTCAATATTAATACAAATCAAATCGAAGTTATCCTATGTAATGCTTATAATCGAGAGACTACTATTCAGTAGTTCATTCTCAACACTTAAACACGTTCAGTTAATATTTGAATTAATATTTTTGAAGTCTTTAGAAACACAAAATATTATGTTACTAAAATATTTTTATTTTAAAGGATTCTAAAAATGAATTGAATATTTCTCTTATGCTACAGTCAATCGTCGACTTCTTTCGCTGGTATATGTTTTGATTGCCTTTCATTGCAGTGTGTCTTCAATGTACTATAATTACTTTACATTAAATATCTTAATTATTGGTATCTCTTTATAGAACATTCTTTACTTATAATTATACCATACGATTGCAATGATAAATATGTGTGTCGTTTTAGGATTCTGGGGAAAATATAGTCCTTAAAATGACATGCCTCAAAGTAAAAGTAATCTATTAAATGATTCTTTACTAGTAGAATAGAATCGTTCAGAATTTTCCGTTCATCATAATATACTTTCTAAGTGCTAAAAGATGGCGATATGTCTGTGAAATGTAACTGTCAACATCTATTAAATGTATACTGCAGATATACATATATAACGCACTGTTAGTATTTGCTACATAAGAATATGATTTTTTCCTATTTGATCATGGCCTGACACATCTGCAGAGTTTGTCAATTAGAGTATATTTGTACCTAGAATCTAGAATTAGATATAACACCATATTTTTTTCCATATTGTGGGAATATTTCACATTGAAAATTCATGGGTATTGTTGCTCGCATTTGCATACAACTAAGTTTCGTATAACTTCTGTCAGGGATTCCACTTCTCAAAAATAGTGTGCCATGTGAATTCCATTTTCGGGGAAGAAATTGATACTGTCCAGTTGTGTTAGCGTTATAGTGTTAAAGTGATAAAATCTAACATATTTGTATTACTTCCTGTACGTAATCCCTGTCTTATAGTATAAATGATGTAAATATTTTTAATTAATTTTCATCCATTTGATCTATGCGCGAAGGAGCCTCTGTTTTTGTTCTGGTAGATTAGTTGATGCGGCAGCAAGTTAAATTAACGGTTTCCAAAGCAGGTTGCTTCTGGAAACCCCTGGCTTGAATGTTTAGCATTTTCAGTGCCTTGAGCATATTTCGCTTACGAAATTGATGTGGTGATTATAAATAAAACACCTTCTCAGTATTAGTATCTAAGGGTATGCGAGGCCAAATACGGGAGCCACGTGAGGCGCGTTCATTGTGCCAGTGAGTGGTGAAACAAATGGCTCATATTATGCTAAAAGAACTCTTCTAACACTCGTGACAAATGGAAACCTTTTTTTTCCTCCGGCGTGCTGCGTTTCTGTGCAGCCATTTTGCCCTGAGAATTGAGTCGTCCTACGCATTGGTTCGGGAATAGGCGGAGTTACAGCGGATGGGGGAGAGACGGCAGACCAGGGGCGAGTGCAAAAGGACAAGGGACGAGGAACCAGAGTCGATGTGTTGAGGCGAGGGACTATGGGTGGGGGTAAGGAGTGAGGGATGAGAGGTGAGGGATGAGAGGTGAGGGGGTGAGATGCGAGAGGCGGAGGACGACAGGCGAGGAACCAAAGGTGGGGGTGAGCGAGAGTCGAAAGGCGAGGGACGTGGGGCGGGAACGAGAGGGGACCGGCGAGGGCCGACAGACGAGGGAGATGAGGCAAGAGCAGAGAGACGAGGGGCGCGGAGCAAAGGGCGTGAGGCGTGGGGCGAAGGTCGGGGAGGGGGTGAAGGACGAGGGGCGAAGGGGAGGCGCGCGTGCAACAGGTGTGCGTGGGTGCGTGTGGAGATGCATGTGAGAGTTTCACAGGGACGCATCCGCACGCACCGCCTGCCTGGGCTGAGTAATGTCGAGACGAATCGCTGGCGAGTACAATGAGCTCTGAGGCGTGATGGTTCTCATCATACAAACGCGTGGAAAACGTAGAAAGCCGTGTATTGTATATGAAATAGTGTTTTGCAATTTTCGTCGTGTATTTAATTCTAGTTTCATGTATTTGGTTTTCTCTCAGATGTACTCATTTTTATACGTACCAGTTGTGGATTGCCCCTAGAGCAAGTAGCAGTGACAATAGTTTTTTCTGTCACCCATAAGATAAAGAGTATCCTGTTACCTATTAAAGGAATATTTAGTTAATATTAAATTAAGTAAGCTCAACATTATTTGTTCTTAAACTTAACTCCTATTCTAGTGTTGAAAAATAATTCTTGTTCCTGCTGATGCACGAATTTATTTAACGAAGCGATTTGACATTGATGGTGACACGTTCAAAGGCGTTTGCTTGAATGTTCAACTCTCTCTGGTTCGTTTTAAAGTAGTCAAGTGTTGCTCTGCAGAATAGTGTGAAATGTGAGTTGTGCTTATGTTACACATACGCGTGTAACGTGTGTTATTGTCGTGAGTAACGAGAATGCGTATATTTTAGACGCGTTGACGTTATTACTGCTTGTAGTACATCAAACGTTATGACCGTGGAATCTCATGGGACTTACAGACACAAGATCATAAACAGAAATTACGGCTCAATTATAATGTGATAAACTTTTAGATTTCATTGCACTCCCCTTTGGGTTGATCACATGTTCATTATTCCCGATATGATTTTACAAAAAATAAAAATAAAACACCATTTCTGAAGTAATTGGGTAGAAATTTTCCCAGCATTTGAAAAAAAATCCAAAATCGTCTCTATTAGAAATATTGGGGAAGCAGGATTCAATATTTTAAAGAAACTTGTATTTTATTGTACGAGGTATTGTGAAGTGTGTAAGTTATATTTATGAAAACAAAAAATCCCTGTTTTTAATGACAGTTTGTATATAATTTCGTTAAATCGCAAAAGAAATTATAAATAAACCGTCTTTAATAATAGGGACCTTTAATTTTCATTAATGTATTTTATTGTCATGATAAATATAGTAAAGTA